TCTGTCGAAAAATACCAAAATCCAAATTCAACAATTTCACCATTTCGACATCTACATGTCGAATTTGGATGAATTTTCGACAACAACCTGTCGAAAATTCATCGAAAATCGACATATACAGGTCGAAAATGGTGAACGAAGAACCGACCCACGAATCTCAAATCAATGCTCAAATCGACTGAAATCAGATGCACCCATTACTAATTAACGATCATTCTAACCTAAAACAACCAAATCCTAATTACCCATATCAAACAATCAAATCTTAAATAAATATTAAAGAAAAAAAAATCGAAACAACTATAACTTACTATTCGAAGACGACGACGGCGGCGGCTTTGGGCGACGTTGGGCGGCGTTCGGCGGTGTTTGGCGTCGGCGTCCGACGGCGGCGATGGTTGGAGCGGCGGCGGCGGCGTCGGGCGGCGTGGACGGAGGGAGGTGGACGGAGGGAGGTTTTTTGTGTTTGAATTTTTTTTTTCTTTTTTTTTATTTGGTTTTCAAATAGGTAATTTCAAAGAAAAATTGATGTAATTAGTATTTTGTATGAAAGGGTATTTTTGTACTTTTATTTTTATTTTGGTATTAAAGTAAGAAAAAACTTAAAAATATGTACTCAATTGTGGTTTTCAACTAGGTAGTATTCAACTAAGCAAAAACTAGTATTCAAAATAATTGCCCCCTTTTATTATGGCTAATTCTACATTTAAATTTACTCAAAAAAAAAAAATCTACATCTAAGTAGCAGACCCAATTGGAAAAAGACAAATCAATGTGTATGTCAATTACGGGATTGCAATTAATAGTCCAATTCGCAATTAATGAAAGCAAATAGCCAAACACTCCAACTCTTGTTTAATATCTACACGTGTTGCTTAAATAATGGAGTCCCATTTTGTGTTAATTATCAGCACGTCCGATTTTAATTTAATCTCTAAAAAATAACGTTTATTCATTTCTCATTAACAATGAGAGTCAATAATCAGCGTTGACGAGTATCTGAACTAATTGGTGGAGCGCGGCGGTTTTGTAGATGCTACATCCGATGAAATATATCGGTGATTTAAAATTATAGATCTTCACATAATAACACACACTCATGTATATTGATCCAGATTGATTTCGGCCTAGAGGAAAAGCCCAAGTCCAATTAAGTGAAACCCAGATGATTGGGCCAGACTTGGGCCCAGGTCAAGTTCAAGGAAGCCCAAAACCACAACTATCATAATACTCCACAGAGGGTAATTAACGAGGTATTAAACCTACGAGATAGGCTTCCGAGGTAATCCCACGCCTGACGAAGTAAGCATTACGTCGGCATCTCGAAAGTGGAGCAGGGGACAATTCTGGGACGTAAAGGATGGGTGGCAGGCTTGAACTGATTGAGGAACAGTGAAAAGAACCAATAAGAACTCGCCACGTGGCTGAATAGACAGGATAACGGCTTTTCTGTCTTGGAAATATAAACAAGCCCAAAAAGGCCCATATTGTAGTAGTATATATACTAGGTCATGTATAGAGAAGAGCAGGAAGACAATTCTTGAATAATAAAAGGGAATTCAATAAATTGGACCACCCACATTTACTATATTAGGCACATTATCTTCATATGTTATTTAATAATCTTTCTCATCCACATTACTCTGTGATCTCATAAATACTCAAGGTATGAATATTCAAACTAATGATAAGATTTAACAATCTATTGAACCTAATAAAAAGCTATAAAACCTATATTATTGTATGTGGTTAATTAATTTAAGCCCCATCATATATATGTGTGCTTAGTGAGTTGTTATTATATAGATCTGTTATTTAGAATCACCAGGTGCATTTCATCGAGTATAGCATCTCAAACGGGTTAGTAGCTTGAAAGTCTACATTTCGACCACTCTACCTCCTCACTGAAAAATGTGAGACAAATGATTAGTTCTTTTCAATCCTCACATATGATTTTTCAAAGACAATTCATAAGTTAAGGTGATGTTTGCAAAAGCTTATTAAAAAGCATAAATTAGTGATTTTAAGTTGATTGCGTATATATTAAGTGTTTATTCTTACAAGTTTAAGGTATTTGCAAATATGCTATAAAATCAATCTAAGTAGAGAAAGCAGGTCTAGGGATGTTTTTTTTTTAAATAACTTAAACAACTTAGTTTTAGAGAAGTAAAAGTAAAAACTGATTTTCCTAACACCTAAAAATAGATTATAAGCTGGAAAGGCTCAGAAACTATTTCTAAAAACTTTTTCAAACACCACCTTAGTATCCAAAGATTCCAAATATCTTATTAAGGGAATATTTTTACCTAACAATGTATCAATTTAATAGTATTTATTAGTCACTAGTGTGAGAGATCCTAAAATGTTTAAATAAAAAAAAATGAGAGATCACTAGTGTCTTCTCTATTCCTATGTAAATTAAAAAAAGTTTGACCCTAACAATTACTTAATAAAGAGAAGGTCCATAAAAAACTAAAAACTTGACTCTTATAGTCATTAATGCGGGGCATCAAAGTACTACCTTTATTATTAATGGACCAAAAATCGTACATATGATATTTTGGGGGGGAATTTCAAAGATTACAAATTCTGGGCCCACTCCATAATTTCCCATATGGTGCTGCCGTGCTGACTCAGTACTTTACTTATCGAGTAAAATACAGACGCAAACGGAATCCTTATGTATAGATATATCAATATCTATATCTATAATAAAATATATATATACATACAAGGGCTAACTGAGAGAGAGAGAGAGATAGATAGATACACGCAGTACACAAGAGTGAGTGGGTGATTGATTGGTGTGATCAAGCAGTAAAAATGGTGTCAATCCCAATACCGAGTCGGCAACTGTTCATCGACGGCGAATGGCGAGAATCCGTTAACAGAAAACGGATTCCGATCATCAACCCCGCCACCGAAGAAGCCATTGGTTCGTCGATTCACTTTTGTTTTCCTCTGTTGCATTTCTGGTGATAGTAGTTTAATTGTTTTGGTTCTTAATTTGTCGTTTATTTGTATGATTTTTTTTTTTGTCGGAGGGTTTTATGATTTGGGTGGATCTATTCGTTGAAGTAAGCGGAACTCAGAAATCTCATATCAATAGTGTGGGAATGGTATATGTCGAGAATTAGGGCAATCTAATTCGATTGGAGATCTCGTAAATAATTGATAGAAATAACAGGGAGGCCACGTGATTGAATTGTTAATTTAATATAATTTTATATTGCAATTAATAGAGGTAAAGAGTAGGGTTTATGACTGATGATTGATGATCGATGTTTGAACCCAGTTTGTGGTATTTGTGAATATGTCAGGTGATATTCCAGCTGCTTCGGCTGAAGATGTTGATATTGCAGTGGAAGCTGCTCGCAAAGCGTTCTTCAGAAATGGTGGCAAAGATTGGTCCTCCGCAACCGGGGCCCACAGAGCCAAGTATTTACGAGCCATCGCTGCTAAGGTTTTTCTTCCTCACTCTAATTTGAATTTTGTTGCAAAATATTTCAGTTTCTTTGTGGACTATTTTCTCGAATGTCTTGGGGTAGGATATAAACTATTTTGGTAATTTTATGTAAAAGTATAAAATCTTGAATCTTGCTTCGTGAATTTGAAAACGGAATTGTCTAAACGTTTATTTCAATTTTATTGGTACTGTTTCGACTTTATTTTGGACTTTTATTATGTCTGGATTTGGCAAAACTCGAACTACAAAATTTGTTGTTCTTTGAGTTGGCTTTCTGATTCAGCTTGAATCAGATAGACTGAATGTCGGGTGAGAGAGTTATGCAGAAATGAATTACACAGTCCGAATGTGGAATTGCTCAAATATCGATGTTGTAGCCATTGTTCATTCATTCATGCATAACTCTGTCGCCCGGCATCAATCTAGCTGAAGTCAGTTGGGCTGGAAAGCCAACCCAAAGGACTACAAAATTTGGTGCCTTCGAGTTTTGCCAAATTCGGACTTAAAAAGGGTCAAAATCACATTTGAAGTCGGAACGGTATTGATAAAATTAAAGCAGTATTTTATTTAAAAATATTATCTCTCTCTTGATAATGGGAAGAAATATAATCTCAATGTGAATTTCATGTCTCCATCCTTGCATAAAAATGTGGTTTGTTCATTTCGGTTGATAATCTTATGACTTATGCCATTATTTTCAAGATGTTGTTTAAGCGAGTTCATAGCAGTTAGACGCCACCCTATTTGATATGGAGCCTTCTTCCCAAAGGCATAAAATAAATAGCTAACTAAACTTTCATCATTCGTTTCGTATGTTGGATGCTTCCACATGCTTACACTATCTGATTACGTGCAGATTACAGAAAGGAAACTAGAACTAGCAAAACTTGAATCACTTGATTCTGGGAAACCATTGGAAGAAGCGGCTTGGGATATGGTATTTTTCGTAATTAATAAAGACTTTTTTTTCTCTAATTTTCTATATCGTAATATCAACTTATTATTCTGTCTCGTATAGGATGATGTTGCTGGATGTTTTGAATATTATGCGGACATTGCAGAGGCTTTGGATTCAAAGCAAAAGAGTCCCATTTCTTTACCAATGGAAACATTTACATGTCATACTTATAAAGAACCCATTGGAGTCGTTGGTTTGATTACACCATGGTTGGTCGTCCTTATTCAGTTGATCGATTCTTTTTTATTTCTTTTTGTTATTAAATGAGAAGGATTGTTGTTCCTCTATCCTCTTTATTCCCTAATAGAGAAATCTATGACATATATTGCCATCTGTTTCTGTTTTTAGACTAATCTTGGTTAAACCATTTTCTAATTTATTTTGTTTTAACTTCTATCATTAAAAAAAAAAAAATCCCTAATTTAACAGGAACTACCCTTTGTTAATGGCAACATGGAAAGTTGCACCTGCCTTGGCAGCTGGATGTACTGCTGTACTTAAACCGTCTGAAATAGCATCTGTGTAAGTCTCTTCGTTGATCTTTATCGTCTTTTTGCTGTTAGTATTGTTGTATTATGTTGCCCATTTATTCCATTCTATATATTTTCTCTTTGGATATTGGAAATGAATTTTTTATTAGAAAAAATAATTTCAAGTGCAGTACTTGTTTGGAGTTGGCTGACGTTTGTAGGGAGGTGGGCCTTCCACCTGGTGTTCTCAACGTTTTGACTGGTTACGGCCCAGAAGCCGGTGCTCCTTTGGCTTCTCATCCTCATGTTGACAAGGTTCGATTTTTCAGTTTTATATTTATTATTATTGTTATTTTTTTTATTCTTTTTAAATAATACTTTTTCTGTGGTGTGGTAACATTGTTCTCATATTTGATAAATAGATAGCGTTTACTGGGAGTAGTGCTACAGGAACCAAAATTATGACTGCTGCAGCCCAACTTGTGAAAGTATGTTTGATTAAGTTACCTGTCTTCATTATGCGTATGATTTAAAAAAAAAATTACATTTTATTTGAAAAAATAATAAATCGATTTCTGATTGCAGCCAGTTACACTTGAGCTTGGTGGAAAAAGTCCAATTGTTGTATTTGAGGATGTTGATCTCGATCTAGGTTCGAGAATTTCATCATAGTTTTTAATTTATATTTGCATTAATTGAGGGAAATGTATTTTGAGCATTTATACCTAAGTTTGTCAGCATAATCAGTAATAAAAACTGATTTTTCAAGAAACTTTGCTCATTGTTAACTTTCTTATTTACTATTCATCACAGCTGCTGAGTGGGCTCTCTTCGGCTGCTTTTGGACAAATGGACAGATATGCAGTGCTACTTCTCGGCTTATAGTGCATGTAAGTGTGAATTTGTATTTGATAGTTTTGCATTACATCCAATATTATAAGGTTTTAGCCAACAAAAGATCACGTAACTATTAAAAGTAGTTTACTCCTCACAACGAGCTCCTTCCAAACTCACCGAGTCTCAACTAACTTTTGTAATTGGTATTTGGTTTACTCTGCTGCTGCTATTTGGAAGCATAATGTGGATGATTTTTTTATTTAATTCTTATTATAAACTCTTTTTTCTTTTTTTTTTTTTGGGAAAAGTAGTCTAATATTTTCAAATTTATGGGAATATTTCAGGAAAGCATTGCTGAAGCATTTTTGGAGAAACTTGTGAAATGGTGCGAAAATATTAAAATATCAGAACCCTTGGAGGATGGCTGCAGGCTTGGTCCCGTTATTAGTGATGGGCAGGTAAACGAAGATTGCGTATTATTACCGTTGCCATAAAATACTCAACGAGAAATAAAATTCAGGAATCCCTTAAATTTCTTTAATAATAAATAAATAAAAAAAGAAAAACTAAACATCTGTTTCTTTGATGAGATACAAGAACCATTAATAATATATTATTGTAAGTTTGCATCTAATGTAACAACAAATTTTGTAAATGTTACAGTACGAGAAGGTGATGAAGTTCATTTCAACGGCTAAGGAAGAAGGGGCCACAATCTTGTCCGGGGGTGCTCGCCCTCAGGTAAAAATCTAGTCCCTGATCATTTGACTGTTTTTCTACCAGCTTTTGCAATAGTATAGTTATTCGTCTTTTTTTTTTTTCTAAAATTATTTTTATTATTGCAGCATTTGAAGAAAGGTTACTTTGTAAAACCAACTATAATTTCAAATGTGAAAACATCCATGCAAATATGGAGAGAGGAAGTATTTGGGCCAGTTCTTTGTGTTAAAACCTTTTCAACCGAAGAGGAAGCCATCGAACTAGCAAACGACACACAGTGAGTCGGCTTTTTTTATTTTTTTTTATTTTATCCTATATACATTTAAACCTCTATAAATTCTCTATAAATTAATACAGTTGGAACCATCAAAATCTCATTAATTTAACGAAATATTAACTTATCGATAAATTAATAACTATTAATTTATACATTAATTAATAACTTATTAATTTATGAAATTATTTTTTTATTATTTTCAATAAACACATTTTTTTTAAATATTTTTTTACGTGTATATTATTCATTATACCATTAGTTCAATGCACTATAGAGTCCGTTTCACGAACGAAAACTCTTAAAGCAGTAATGATATTGAATAATTTTTTGTTGAATTATGAGAAAACTTATACCAAAAGTTCTAACCGTGTTAACAAAAGTGAGGGACGAGATTGATTGTATGTGAACTTCAATAAGAAACAAGCAATAATTAATTATATTTTATTAAACTTTCGTAGATTCATAAAATATGTATTGTACCATGTAATTTAAGAATTATTTATATGCATTATTAATTTATATATTATATGGGACTTCTTAAAATTTTCGAATGTGTATTATCTTATAAATTTAGCGAATTATTAATTTAGCACGTTGTCCCCGAGTCGGGACCGAGAAAATTTATTATTTAAGCGAGATTATTAATTTATCGGGTATTAATTTATCGAGGTTCCACAGTAATTACTATATCAATTTTGCTAGCCTTTATTTATATTATTTGAGATATAATATTTTTCAGTTATGGCTTGGCTGCTGCTGTATTATCCCGAGATCTGGAAAGATGTGAGCGAATGACTAAGGTAACAATCTTTAGCATTTGCCAACAAAAATAAAAAAATATCCTTTGATTTTTTCGCATTGCTAAGAAACTCCATGCGTTAATTTTATTAGCAAATGTTATTTTAACAAAATAAAAATCGAAACTTGGGATGGATATTGTTGAATTTATTTCTTGATTATTCTTGTACAGGCATTTCAAGTAGGCATTGTATGGGTCAACTGCTCACAGCCATGCTTCACTCAAGCTCCTTGGGGAGGCAAAAAGCGTAGTGGTTTTGGTCGTGAACTTGGCGAAGGGTAATAATTACTAATTTGTCCTTACAATTTCACATTTATCATCTTATTATACCATCAATTTCGAATAATGAAAGTTACACATTATTAAATTTTATTTTCTTTTCTTCTGTATTTTTTTTTCTCTACCAGGGGAATCGACAACTACTTGAGCGTAAAACAGGTGACGCAATATATTTCTAGTGATCCTTGGGGTTGGTATACTTCTCCTTCCAAGCTATGAAAATGTTTTCCTGGTTCAATGAGTTCAAAAGCATCGGCAAATATGTAGAATAAGGCTTCTATGATGGTGAAAGATGACAACCTTGTGTAATAGAACCACTACTTTTTTCGAAGATGGAATATTTGGAAGAATACTCGGAGTAAAAGTCGGTTTTATTGTCTTATTATATCCTTTTGTTATGGTAATGACATTTGGTTTGAGCTTCTTAGAGGTCTATTGTGACTGATTTGAACAAATAAATCATATTCACGAGCATGGGTTCACATTTTTCGAGCTAGAGCGAGTTTGTGAGGATCGTGAGTTGGCTTATCTCGTTTATGGCTCTCTCTACTTTGTTATTTATTTATTTATTATATATCTGAATCAAATAAGCCACATTTGATATTTGAACACAATAAAACTGCACTTGGGAATTACATAATAATCGAGTTGCAATAACAAAATGAAATTAACAATAAGATGTGGAAATAACCGAGGTGCCAAACCAGGCATTCGTAACAAGAAAGAATCACACGAAAAGTATTCGGTATTTCTCATTTGGGTGAAGCGATCACATCATCCACGAGTGTTACAAATAAACTGAACATACGAGTTGCAAATTATTGCTTTCGGAGCTCTCGAAGCTGGCCACCTTTTCCTTGAACCTCTCTACTTCTTTGTTACTCCAGAACTGAATTCGAACTCGAAGATAGTCGTTTTCAAGACTCTCTTGTTCCTCCAGTATTCTAATGGCTGAAACGAGTGCAGTTTGGCTGCAGTAACACATTTGAATAAGGGCAAGTGTGGATATTTCTCCGATACCTGAAGGAATCTCATCCAGTTGCATAAATCCATTGAGAACAAGACTCTCTAGGACCGGGAAGTGAACACTCTCCGCATTCCAATGCTTCAGTTCCGTGCAGTAGTTGATAAGTAGGTATTTCAGGCGAAGGAATTCCCCCTCAACAGGGTTCCACTCCGATCCTCTCACCGAATCACTTCCCAGTTTGAGAATCTCAAGATTGGGCAACGAACCAATGGCTGACAATTCTTCCCAATCTAGAACGTAGCTACTCTCTAAGGTCAACCTCTGGAGCGAAGTCGGAAATTTGAGGTTCCGTAATAAAGAAGTCTTCTCTGGAGTATTTCCTGACATTGACAAGTTACCAAAATCACAATATAGTGATTCGAGTTTATCAAACCGGCCAATGGTGTAGAGACAGTAGTCACATGCAGATTCTGTTACAGCCAAATCCTCGATGTACTTTATCTTCAGTATCTTGACATTGGGGATTCTCGTACAGACCTCCTCACTCAGCTTCAAATTCATTACTTTCTTGAGTGTGTGCAAGTTTTTCAAAACAATGCCATCATCGTTTTGTTCGCTTCTTAAAGGAGGGTCAGGAAGATATATCCCGTTGTCGAACTCAAAATGCCTAAGTTGTGGCATTGACCAAATTTCAGATGGTGCAACCAATGTTTCTGTACCTCCAATTTTCAATGTTTGCACATTCCAGAGTAGATATAATGACAAATGGAGTGCACGATGAATATGATCACGTTCGGCGTAACTGTAGTTAGTCCAAACATAGCGCAAGTTAACTTGCTCAAAAATATCGTTTAGAGAAGTATCAGCATAATCCACACTCAATACTCTCAACAATCTAAACTTAAACGGCAGCCGACCTCCCTTGCCTAACAAAGAACGAGTAACGGGTGCTGGCTCATGATTATGAGAGAGTGAAGAGTCCCAATTTATCGCCGTAGTTTTTTCAGGAAATAAAATGCGACGCTCCTTATGTATGCCTGATTGAGTGTCACATAGCTTGATCAAATAAAGAAACTTCTCCTTTTGAGCTGGCTTTAAGCACAAGTCTCTTAAAAGATCGTGGATAGTGCATGTTTTCATTTTCCCATTCAACCTCAATGTACCAACTAAAAGGAGATTCCTCTCAACAAGATCCTTGACGTATTCCTTCGCAACCTTTTCCAAACTTTGGTATTTATTTGGTTTTATAAATCCCTCAGCAACCCAAAGTTTGATGAGTTCGGTCACACGAATATCACAGTCTTCAGGAAAAATTGCCAAGTAAAGAAAACACGGTTTTAAGTGGGCAGGTAAGTGACTATAACTCAAAGACAATATGTCCAAGTTTTGCTCTTCTGAATCCAAAATCGAATTCATATTTTCTGAAATATTCTCCCAATATTCTTGTGTTCTAGAAGACTTCCTAAGAAGTCCTCCAATTACAACAATTAATAGCGGAAGCCCTTTGCATTTTTTAGCAATCTTCATTCCAATTTTCTCTAATTCACGAGGGCAAACTTCTTTCTCTAGAAATTCCTTTTCACAAAATAACTTCCAACTTCGATCTTCATCTAGAAATTTCTTTGAAAAGTACGACGAGGAGCCAAAATGGCTAGCAAAATTTGACAGCCTAGTCGTTAGGATAATTCGACTTCCGTTGTTGTTATCTAGAAAGAAAAACATCATTTTTTCCCAAGCATCGATACTCCACATATCGCCCAATATAATCAAATATCTCCGACCTATTAGACTTTGATACAACTATTGTGATAATTGTTGTTCATTAGCAGATTGACTACTTTCGCGAGAAAGAAGTTTTGAAAAGATATCTTTCACGCTATACTCTTGAGATATTGTAGCCCAAGTACAAATATCGAAGTGTTTCATAATTAATCGATTTTCATAAACATTTCTAGCAAGAGTAGTCTTACCAATGCCGCCCATGCCTACGATCGATATGACTTGCAGACTTGATTGTTGTCCGGTGAGAGCATCCAAAAGTTGACTCAACTCCTCATCGAATCCCACCATCTTGCTCTTTCCGCTACATGATGAAGTAATAGGAGGAGCATGCAACGAATATGTGGGGCCCTTTTGACGATCTTTGAATCTCCGTTCTTCTTTAAAATTGACAACCTTATACTTGACATAATCCATGTCTTGTATTACTGTCTGTAGATCAAGGAACGAAATCGAACCGGAATGAATCTGGTCAACTACATGAGATTCGATTACATCTTCAGCCGAATAGGCTGCTGATGTAATCTGGCCCTCCAAGACTTCATATTCTTCGCTTACAACTCCACGAGAATGAGTAATCTCTACAGAATCCAACAAGAAATTGAGATGATCGGAAAGAGATTCCATCTGTCCCTTGTCGAAGCAGTTGGAAATGCGAGGATGAATTTGGATGTGATCAAGAACATTGATTAGAGAAACAAGAGCTGCATAAGCTGCCATCTCAATCTTCTTTCAAGTGTAAGAAAAAGCAAAAATCTGTTTACACAGGGGACTTTTACAGATACAATTTTAGAGATGATGTTATACAGAGATGCTTTTTTGTTTTGAACATTGTTTCTTGCTAGAATATAATTAATTGAAGGTCCAAACATAGCCTAAGTCAGATGTAAAATAGTAACTGCTAAGATAATAATTAGTCTAATGTCGGGTAAAATTCATTTTAGTCCCTCACATTTGCAATCAAAATTAAATTCATCCCCGTGGTTTTAATTGGATTCAATGTCATCCCTGAAATATAATTTTACTGCTAAAATTCATTTTTTCTCCCAAAATACCCATATTACCCTTTTAAAACCTGGGGACTTAAATGAAACTCCGCCCAGAATGCCACTTTTTTCTCTACAAAATATATTGAACTAAAATTCTATTTAATAATATTTACTAGAACTTATGGGAAACAAATCAACAAATAATTATGTATAAATGTATGTTACGAAATTAACTCTATTTCTTTTCATGTCAAATTTGTTGCTGATATTTTTTTGTTGGAAATTGATAATATTTTTTTGGTTTTGTAAATTTCTCGTGTAAATTTTTTTTTCCCAAACCACATTTTTTTAGGTATTATGGCATTGTATTTTTTATTATTACTTTTGACCCCCCGAGGTTTTTGCAAATATGTGTCTTAACCCTTAATTTGTTTCTTCTTCACAGTCTTATATAAATTATACTTGTATATATCATATTTAATATAAAAATATTTAACAAAATGGTTAAAATTTGTATTTTTAATATAATATTTATGAATATTTACTTATTTTTTAATTTTTTTATCGATGTCTCTTCAAACTAATATGTGACGATGCCATTAATTTTCAAAATATTTTAAGTGCAATAAATTAAATTTTTTTTGGCATACTTAAAATATGATAAAACTATAATATATATGCTATTTTAATTAAAATTTATCAATATAAACTTATTTTTGCTATGTCTTGTGAATCTAATTTTTTTTTGAGATGCTGCTCCGAACCTCGAAATCTTAATTAGCCCCCCTACATTTTGATCCTGGTTCCGCCCCTGCTTATGAAATTAATTGTTACAACATATGGAATCATACTAATGTTGTTATAGTCTAACGTGGTAATTCGAACGCCGAGAATGCAATGTTACTAAAACATGTTTTTTTTTAAAGCGACAATGTTTTTTAATATTTAAGTCTACGATGTTATTTATTTTTGAAAAATGTTTTAGTGGAATAATCTTTAAATAATATATTTTAATTTGTATTTTAAGAAGAAATAACTTGTACTTTAGTAGTTAATTTATGTTTAAAGATTTGAAATTAAAAAATAATTTGCAACAAGAATTTGAAAAATAAAATAAGATTTGTGTGTATTTTAGATATTGTTTGAATTAATGAGAGAAAATAAGTTTTGAGATCTTGAAATGTTATTAAATATAATTTTATTTTGTGGTGTTCAGCAAAAAAGAGCATTAGGGCTGAATTTCATTTTAGTCTCCCAGGTTTTCGAGGGGCAATTTGGGCATTTTATGAAAAAATGATTGATTTTGGCAGTGAAACTGAGTTATAAGGATGACATTAAACAAAATTAAAAACACAGGGATGAATTTGATTTTGGCTGCAAAGCTCAGGGACTAAAATGAATTTTACCCGTCTAATGTCTTATAAGTCTTTTTTTAAGGAGCTCTCGGGTGCATCGACCTTAATTATTACAATGTAATCTACTTCACAATAACAAGTTGCCTTAGTTATTACTCGACAGCAAGTGGTGTATTGGTGCTCGTACTTATAGTTAGGGGTGGTAAATGAGCTCAGCCGGCTCGTGAACTGGACGAGCCGACTCGACATAAGTTCGAAATCGAGCTCAAGTCTGATTATAGTTGTTTTACAGCTCACGAACTTCTTATTTATTTATTTTGTTTTATATATTATACAATAAAATTCTTTTATTAATGAGCTAATTATTTTTAAAGCTCGAGTTCGAGTTTGAGCTTGCCAAAGCTCGTGCGAGTTCGAGCTCGAGTCAGAAAATCTCAACATGTGCTCATGAAAGGGTTATTTTAGCATGTTCACGTGCTCCACACGTGCTTTTTGTGTCCAAATTTACACACAAATTAGACGGCTGAGTGAAACTGCAAAAAAATAGCTTGTTTAAGGACTAGAATCATGGAAAAGATAATGTAAGAGACTAAAATCAATTCAAAGTATTGTAAATGGATCAAAAGTGTAATAATTGTTATGCGATTGTTATGGTTTTATTTGTTTGTTGTGCACTTAATTCCTAGATTCCAAATATGTCGTGCATCTATTATTTTAGAGGTTGGTTAAAAAAAAAAAGAATTCACATGGATGGAAATTTAAAAAATGCACAACTTGTTACTTAACAACGCATATTTTAATTTTTTGAGCTCGAGTCGAATTTGACGAGCCTGACTGTTGTGCTCTAATATGTAAATATGAAATAACTAGACACAAGATTCTTCGGTAAAAAAAAAACGAAGAATGATGAATACAAATCCCGAACGAGGTGAAAAATCACCTCATAATTATTTGAGGAAAAACAAGTACAACAAATATCTTAATAAATAATAAGTACTTAAGCTCATCAACTAATCAAGTATATATCATTGCAATGAAACAAACATTTTAATGTGTTTATAATTTTGAAATTGTAATTTAATATGAATTATTTTCTCAATTACATTAACACATAGGTAATTTCTTTCACAATACCCATCATTCTTAACAAACCAAAATAACAATTATTACTTAAGCTGAATACTATTACATCACGGCCATAATACATTTATAGTTGTTATTTGAATATAAAAACACTAGTTGTAATTACATATTTGAGTTGCAATGAAAATTAAAAGTAATAACTTAGGCATTTGTCCAAAATGAAACAAGCTTTTAATCAGCAAGACTTTGGAGTTGCAAATTATTGCTATTGAAGCACTCGAAATCGACCACCTTTTCCGTGAACCTCTCTAGTTCCATTTTCCGCCAGAACTGAATTACAACTCGAAGATGATCGTTTCCAAAACTCTCTTGTTCCTCGAGTATGCTCATCGCCGACATGGAAGCAGACTCGTTGCAGCTCAACAGATGAATAAGGGCAAGTGTTGGAATTTCTCCTATACCCAAAGGAATCTCATCGAGATGTAACAATCCAGAGAGATATAGCTTTTCCAGGACTGGAAAATGGAAGCTTTCAGCATTCCAGTGTTTCAGTTCCCAGCTGTTGATAAATAGGTATTTGAGGCGAAGGAATTCCCCCTCGACAGGGTTCCACTCCGATCCTGTCATCGAACCATCTTTCAGTTGGAGAACTTCAAGATTGGGTGACGAACCAATTGTTGTCAAATCTTCCCATTCAATCTTACGACCACTTAAGGTCAACTTCTTGAGCGAAGTCGGGAATTTGAGGTTCCGTACTAAATTACCACACGGTTGCACGTTACCTAACTGACAATTTAGTGATTCGAGTTTATGCAAACACCCAATATTGTAGATAAAGGTTTCACGTGAAGATCTCTCAGGCAAAAAGTCGTTGTACTTTATCTTCAATATCTTGACACTGGGGATTCTCTTACATACCTCCTCACTCAAATTCAAATCCACCACAGTCTTAAGTGTGTGCAAGTTTTTCAAAACAATGCTATCGTCTTTTTCTTGGCTTCTCAAAGGAGGCGTTGGAAGACATAACCTTGCGAACTCTAAATACCTAAGTTGTGGCATTGACCAAATTTCAGTCGGCGCATAAAAAATTCCAAAACCTCCAATTTTCAATGTCTGCACATTCCAGAGTAGAGATACTGTCCAAGGAAGTTCACGAGAATAATGCTTATGTTTGTAGAAATCATAGTATATCCAAACATAGCGCAAGTTAATTTGCTCAAAAATATCGCTTGGAAGAGAATCGGTATAATCCACATTAAAAACTTTCAACAATCTAAACCTAACCGGTCGCCAACCTGCATTGCGTAAAAAAGAACGAGTAAGGGGTGCTGACTCAAGAGCATGAGAAAGTAGATCATGATTTATCTCTGAGTTTTTTCCAAGAAATAAAATGCGACGCTCCTTAGTTAGGGCCCGTGGACTGTCACAAAACCTGATGAAATAGAAAAACTTCTCTTTCTCAGCTGTCTTTATGCACAAGTCTCTTACAAGATCATGGATAGTGCAGGTTTTAATTTGTCCATTCAACCTCAACCTACCAACTGAAAGGAGATTTCTCTCAACAAGATCCTTTAAATATCCCTCGCCAACCTCTTCCAAACTTTTGATTTTATTTGGTTTTATAAATCCTTCAGCAATCCAAAGTTTGATGAGTTCTGACAAATGAATCTCATAGTCCTCTGGATAAATTCCCGTGTAAAAAAAACACGGTTTTAAATGGGCAGGTAACTGCCTATAACTCAAAGACAATATGTCCAAGTTTTGCTCTTCCGAATCCAAAATTGAGTTCATATTTTGTGAAATATTCTCCCAATATTCTTGTGTACAAGAAGACTTCCTAAGAAGTCCTCCAATCACAACAATTAATAAAGGAAGCCCTTTGCATTTTTTAGCAATCTTCTTTCCAATTTCCTCTAATTGAGGAGGGCAAACTTCTTCTTGTGGAAAGGCCTTTTCACAAAATAGATTCCAACTTTTATCTTCATCTAGAAATTTCTTTGAGAAGTAGGACGAACCAAAATAAATAGAAACATTTGACAGCCTAGTGGTTATGATAATTCGACTTCCATTGTTGTTATCTGGAAAGAAAAACATCATCTTTTCCCAAGCATCAATACTCCAGACATCGTCCAATATAATCAAATATCTCCTACCTATGAGTCTTTGATACAACTTTTGTCCTAATTGTTGTTCAATTTCTTGACCCACTCCACTAGTTTGGCGGGAAAGAAGTTTTGAAAAGATTTTTTTCAGACTATACTCTTGAGATATTGTAGCCCAAGCACAAATATCAAAATGATTCAAAATTAATCGACTTTCGTAAGCATTTCGAGCAAGAGTAGTCTTACCAATGCCGCCCATACCTACAATGGGGATGATTTGGAGACTCGGTTGTCGGCCAGTGAGAGCATCCAATAGTTGAATCAACTCCTCATCGAATTCCACCATCTTGCTCTTTCCGTTACTTGATGAAGAAGTACTAGGAGGAGTAGGCAACGAATACGCGGGGCCCTCCTTTTGATCTAATTTGAGTCCCATTTCTTTTTTAAAATTGCCAACCTTATCCTTGACAGAATCAATGACTTCGATTACTGACTGCAGATCGAGCAAAATCAAACCGGAGTGAATTTGGTCGACAACATGAGTTTCGATTACATCTTCAGCCGCATAGGATGCTGATGCAATATCGCTCTCCAAAACTTCATATTCTTCGCTTAGAACTCCAACATGAGAATGAGTAATCTCAACAAAATCTAGCAAGAAACCGACAAGATGGGAAAGAGATTCCAACTGTTTCTTGTGGAAGCAGTTGGAAATACGAGGATGATCTTGGATTTGATCAAGGACACTCATTAGAGAAGCAAGAGCAGCGTAAGTTGCCATCTCAATGTATTTTCTTTCAAGTGTAGGAAAAAGCAAAAGCTTTTTTTTATGGAAAATGAGAGAAATATTATGATATAGAGAAAATATCACAACAATAAATTGCCTCAATATATTATTACTCCGAGAGCTAGTGGTATTCATATGTAAGTTGCATTTTGACTTTATTGCACAAAGACAAATGAAGTGGGGACTCAATTTGCAATGTACATGCATGTTGACTATTGACTATATATATATATATATATATATATATATATATATATATATATATATATATATATATATATATATATATATATATATATATATATATATATATATATATATATATATATATATATATATATATATATACAATTCGAGGCCCTAATAAATGAGTTCACATTCATAATCAATAATGGCTCCATTTGTTGAAAATTTCAACTCGGAAATATCAACTGATAATCCGGATTTTCTATATATTTTTTTCTCACCCCACTCTCATATAATAATATAATAAGGGAAAAGTACGGTTTGAACCCCTGAATTATGCGGTTTGTCTCAAACACCCCAAACTACAACACGTATCAAAATAGTCCCCGACTTTAACAGTCAAACATTAGAAATTTAACACCATTACAAATAATGGGCATTACATTTTTACCCATTATTTGTTTGGAGTCGGATGCAGATGATCAGCGATTTTTTCGTTCACCGAAATCGGAGTCAAATTCCAATGGTTACGGGTTTATGCAGAGGCTGGGGAGATTTTCATATATGATAACAAAGAAGGCGGCGGAGCGGCGGAGCAGTGGCAGGTGTTCTGGGGCGGTACTACTAACGGGGGGGCAAGAAAAAAACAAATTTTTTTTTTTTAGCTATTTTGACATAATAGTTTTTGAATATAACTCTTAATTTTTTTGTTTATTCTCCATAATTTTATATAAATTATAGATATATATCATATTTAATATAAAATAAAATGGTTAAAACTTGTACTATTTTAAATAATATTTATGAATATTTACTTATCGATCATTGATTTTTTATATCAATGTCTCTAAAATATAATACGAGACGGTGCCATGAATCCCATTAAGTGCAATATATTATTAGAATAATATAGATTTTTTTGTCATGCTTGAAATATGATATATATATATATATATATATATATATATATATATATATATATATATATGTGTGTGTGTGTGTGTGTGTGTGTGTGCGCGCGCGTGTGTGTGTGTTATTTTAATTAAAAATTCGCAGTATGAACCTATTTTATCAATGTCTTGTGAACCTAATTTTTTTTTTCTGGGCACTGTCCCGAACCTCGAAATTTTAGTTAACCCCCTACTTACTAATCCTAGTTCCGCCCCTGCACGTGTTGTTGAGAGTGGAAAGAGAGATGTGTGCCCATTTATAAATTTGCAATGTGGATTTTTTGTATTCCAGAAAATTAATGAAATAAAAATCTTTTGTTTCTATGGGGAAAAAAAAATACTGAGGTGGAAAGATTTAATACACAGAGGTGGAAAAAGTTGGAGACATCTTTTCTTAATTATGTCATTTATTTGCATATATAATAATGTATATTTTTTGTTTAAAAACTAGAAAATTTACTTATAATATTATAGATAAATTAATTTGATCTACCCAACAAATATACTTATTGCATTTAAAAAAGAAAAAAGGCAAAACTGAACGTCGCCCCCTGTAAATTTCTAACTTTTGCATTTTACCCCCTCAAAATTTAAAAAAGTGAATGTTCATCTTCAAAATGTTATTCTTGTTATTCTTGTTGCACATTGATGAATCATTTTCTACACATTACCCCTTTAAAATATTATTTTTGTTGCACGTACGATGCCCACCAAAAAAATATTTTTTGGAGGAAAGTCCAATCGAAACAATATTTCGAGAGGGATAATCTCTTTTTTGAATTTGTAGGGGGGAAAATGCGAAAATGCAAAATTTATAAGGGGGTGAAGTGCATTTTGTTCTTAAAGACATCCACACATCTTATTTGAATATAAAAATGTATATGGAATACATATTTGATTTGCAATAAAAAACATTAACTTAACAATAAGACGAAGGCATCGGTAACTAAAATAACACGAAGTGGTGATATTTTTCATCGACATCTTGAACTATCGAGTTGTAAATTATTCATTATTGCTTTTGAATTGTATACGAACTCGAAGTTTGACGTTTCCAAGACTCTCTTGTTCCTCCAGTATTTTAGCTGCCGAAACGGCCGCAGATTCACTACAGTTGAACATCTGAATAATGTCAAGTGTAGGTATTTCCCCAATGCCTGAAGGAATCTCATCCAGTTGGAATATTCCATTAAGAACAAGATTCTCCAGGACTGGGAAATGAACACTCTCCGCATTCTAATGTTTCAGTTCGAAACAGCTGATAAATAAATATTTTAGGCGAATAAATTCCCCCTCAACAGGGTTCCATTCGGATCCTCTAACTGAACCAATTCCCAATAGGAGACCTTCAAGATTTGGCAACGAACCAATCATTGTCAAATCTTCCCAATCAAGACCGCTACCAATTTAGCTCAACTTCTTGAGCGAAGTTGGAAATTTGACGTTCCGCAGTAAATTCGAGTTCTCGGTATTTTCCAACACTGACAAGTCACCAAAATCAATACATAGTAGTTCGAGTTTATGCAACATGCTAGTATTGTAGAGATTGTTGTAACAAGAGCTTTTTGAGAAACCTTCGTACACTATGTTCAATTTCTTGACATTGGGGATTCTCTTACATACCTCTTCACTCAAATTCAAATTCACTACTTTCTTAATTGTTTGCAAATTTTTCAAAACAATGAACTCATCATTTTCTTGGCTTCTCAAAAGAGGTTCTGGAAGATTGATCCCTGCAGAGAACTCCACATGCCTAAGTTGTGGCATTGACCATATTACAGACGGTGCGACAAATCGTTGTGTACCTCCAATTTTCAATGTTTGCACATTCCGGAGTAGAGGGTCGCAATTTACCTCTGGAAATTTGTCAAGATGTAAAATGCGGCCCTTCTTATGCAAAAACTGAAACTTCTCCTTTTTATATGCATTTACGCATAAGTCTCTTACAAGATCGTGTACAGTGCAAGTTTTTATTTTTCCATTCCACCTCAACCTACCAACTAAAAAAAGATTCTTCTCAACAAGATCCTTTAAGTATCCCTCTGCAACATCTTCCAAACTTTGGGTTTTATTTGCTTTTATAAATCCCTCACCAATCCAAAGTTTGATAATGTGGGACACACTAATTTCTCTGTCTTCTGGAAAAGTTATTCCCGTATAAAGAAAACACGGTTTTAAATGGACAGGTACTGATGCAAATGGAACCATAAGAGACGAAGTCCACCAAGAGACACTAAGCTTGCCAAGCGGACCAATCACAATGCTTAGAGCCAAGCGTTTCAAGGAAGCATTATATGGGCTGATTCAAGAAGAAGTTGAGATGGCAAACAATTGGAGGCCCAACATGAGTTCAAATCCATGTACAAGCCCATTCACAATTCAAATGGACCCAAATCATGTTGGAGGGAAGTCAATCACAAAGATATCAGTTATAGAAGGGTCTAATTGAAGCAATGACGTTTTTCAAGGCTTTGGAGAGTCCTTCACTTGTGCAATTTCAGCTTTAGAATATCAATATTCTGATTTAGATGTTACCTTAATTTAGAATCAATAATTGTTAATTAGATTGGCTTATTTGTGGCTGATTTGATTAGATAGATAATAATTCCTTATTCTTAGTTTATTTCCATAGATTAGAGAATATTGAACCCTATATAAAGGGGCTAAGTTGTATGTTTCAGCAATCAATTCATAAATCATTTTTGTGAGATATTAGTATTCTTCTTTCTATCTTGAAAGAGCTTTTCAACTTATCAAGTTATCTTGTGGCGTTCAAACAATCAGACTTATCATCAAGATTCTTGAATCCATCTTGAACTCTTGGTGTGGCGTCTTCGTATCTATTGTAACCTTGGTTCGTGATTTACTAATCATTGGGTCAAGGTTCGACAAACTTGTTTCTTTGGGGGGTCTTGGGGTTCCAAAACCATGTATTGTTATTGGGTTTCGTCACATGTTGATGTAGTTCATATCAGGTACGTGCTTATAACTCAAAGACAATATGTCGAGGTTTTGCTCCTCCTCTATTAAACTCGGAATCGAATTTATATCTTTTGAAATAATCTCCCATAATTCTTGTGACCTAGAAGACTTTCTAAGAAGTCCTCCAATCACAAGAATCAAAAGAGGAAGCCCTTTGCATTTTTTAGCAATATTCTTTCCAATTTCCTCTAATTCAGAAGGGCAACAAGCTTCTTGTGGAAATGCCGTTTCGCGAAACAACTTCCAACTTTCATCTTCATCTAGAAGTTTCTTTGAAAAGTACGATGAGACAAAATGACTAGCAACATTTGACAGCCTAGTGGTTACGATAATTCGACTCCCATTGTTGTTATCCGGAAAATAAGACTTAATCTTTTCCCAAACTTCGATACTCCAAATATCGTCCAATATAATCAAATATTTCCTACCTATTAGACTTTGATACAATTGTTGTGCTAATTGTTATTCTGTTTTTTGACCTTATTCACCAACAGATTGACTACTTTGGTGAGAAAGAAACTTTGAAAAGATATCGTTCACACTATACCCTTGAGATATTGTAACCCAAGCACGAAAATCAAAGTATCCAAAATAAGCGAACTATCATAAAAATAGCTAGCAAGAGTAGTCTTACCAATGCCGCCCATGCCTACAATTGGAATGATTTGCAGACTCGATTGTTGTTCGGTGAGTGCTTCCGAAAGTTGAACCAACTCCTCATCAAATCGCACCATCTTGCTTTTTCCGTTACTTGATGAAGTACTAGGATTAGGCAATGAATATGTGGGGCCCTCTGGAACATCATCTTTAAATATCCATTCTTTAACAATGAGAACCTTATCCTTGACATAATCCATGTCATGCATTGTTGTCTGTAGATCGAGCAACGAAATCGAACCGGAGTGAATTTGGTCAACTACGTGAGATTCAATTGCATCTTCGGCTGCATGAGCTGCACGTGCAATTTGGCTCTCCAGAAGTTCTGCTTCG